AATACTTCAAAGTGCCATTTCCATTACAATGCTACCACGAATCAAATATGCTTGAACTATTTACAATATTTAATTTCACTTCATTGAACCACCGTTCGCATTTACGCTGTAGCAATTGTACATAATATTTATATGTATACAATTCAGGACATAAAGGGTTGAAAGCTGACCGCAGCCGCGTAAAATCTACAGTCCAAGCGTCAGATTCGTTTCCGAGCACTCATTATAGTTTTCTTTCCCACGCTGAAGTGTCAATTTCATGAGAGATTATAACGAATCGTAATGTATTTTCGGAAATCATAGCAATATCGAGTAGCACGCTTCGATCACTAAGCAAACCACGAATCCTCTGACGATGGAATCAATGCGAAGCCGTTAGTACCGATAATTTCTCTCACGTGCCACGTGTCATGCTTTTATATATACAACTATAAATACTTATGTTGTATTTATATATATATATAAAGAGAAATACGAAGAATGTAAGAAAGAAATACAATTCCAATTAACATCCCGCAGGGACCATCTCATCGTTGAGATCCATTTAACTTTTAACGAAGTGTAGACTTTCTTCAACCCCTTCCGGCCCTTATATTCAACTTCTAAATCCTTCGTTCGCAAGTCAATCCAGTTTTCTAGATCGGGTGTCTGAAACCAGTCGTCGCGATCGACACCTGTTTCGCATGTAATTTCTATCGTTTTAGGTATTTCTATAAGATTTATCATTTCCCGTTTACGGAACTTCACTACACGCGTACCATCCCCTAGCGATAAATACGATCGACTAATTAATTACATATAGTTGCTCTCGTTAGACGAATCGAAATATTACGCTTACATATAAATGATACGACCATTAAGGTCTCAATCGTTAAGTCGTTATTCAGTAGCGGCATGATTCGGGGCAAGGGAGGTAGACGATCTACCGATGATCGATTTTAGGTGCACGAGATTTTTCTCAAAAGTATCCTGTATGTTCTTTGACAATAATGAATCTTTGTTACCTTAAATTACAATATCTTTGAACACCCTCGAAGAACTATGGTTTTAATGCGTTCAAGATCTACTTCAATTCTACTTGACAATTAGTCTTAACACTGTTTATCGAAAAGAAAAATTGTTACTGTCCCAATGTATCTTTCATGGCATCCTAACCGATCAACCTCTCTGTCAGCGTACAGAAAACTAGAAAGCAAGTCGCAAAGACTCTAAACGAGAGAAGATTCCTCCAGCTCATCTGAATCAGATTTTCGTTTATTTTTGAAGATAAGTGCGCCCTTGAGTAGATCAGGCCTCCCTCGCCGCGGATCTGCGAGTACTATCGGCACAATAATTAAAAATATCGTTTTTCTATTGGATTGGCGCAGTGTCTCAGTGTGCTTGTCGTTGTACGATACAATGTTGTGTAAAGGGAAGAGTCGGGAAAGATCGGCGGACGAAGAATTGTGTTCCCAAGCGCGGTGCGAAAACCAAACGATACTTCACTGGGACGGAATGGAACTTTCTAAAACAAGAACAAATCAAAATACAAGACATTCGATTTCACTGAGCAGAGATACTTCTATTTTCTCTTCGAATTATTCAGACCTTCCTGTTACAAGGTACATGTTGTACAGGGTGACTCATTTTATCCGGACGCGTGAAAGAACCCGAACAGCCCCGAAACATCCCAACCCCGATTCTCATCCATTTTGTTTCCTCGATCCTACGCGTTCGTTATCGAATCAGCCAATGTTCATTGATGACTAAAATGAATCACCCCCTACACCCGAAGCTAACGTGCGTTGAGATTGACAATAGTGCTCGTCAGTTGTTCCCATTCTTTCTTTTTCCTGTTAGACGCGCTTAGTTCTGTAACAAGCGAACGAGCAACATCATCACATTCGGCGGAAGGATGAAACTGTTTCAATAACCGGAATACTTCGAAGTTTCGTTCAATGGAAAATTCAGCGATTAGTTTTTTCCACGGCGAGAGAAATGAACGAAACGCATCAACAGTTATGGAATTTTCGTTGAACGTACAGTTAACGCTAGCACTACCGAACAGTTAAACCGACCTTATTTAATTTTCTTGTAGGAACTCTATGAGTACATTTAACGAGATTTCGAATCATTCACAACTTAGTTTCTGCATTGCTGAATCAATTTCATTAGTAACTTCTCAGAGAAGCATTTGTTACCATTTCAATGATTGTACAAAAGGAAATCAGAAATCGGTCGTTTTGATCCATCCGGTAGTTCTAGAGTTAATATAAAGTTTAAAGGAACATCGGCCCGCTGCGCACCATCAGTCCGCTCTCGGTTCGCTCAAAATTCTTTTGTTGTTTATTATTTGGATGAATGATGATAAAGCGAAATATACGAGTGAACAATATTTGATGGAGCCGAGGGCGGATCAAAAACGGGCTTATCAGTTTCACCATCATTCTTTCGTGACGAAGTTTCCGTTGAGACTTCCGGCTCGCTGATAACAGAAATTTCCAGAGTAATTGAACGTTCACGAGATCTAAGGAAAAATTAATAACGTCCGGACTTCGTCGGACACGACTTCGTTCGGAAAATACAGGGACTCTCGTAGTCGTTAAGCGCGATTTAAAAAGAAAAAAAAAAGAAGACGAAAAATGATGTATTCGGATTAGATGAATTTTACTGCCAGTTGTCTTGGGTCTACGTATGTTTGAGCACTACTGCCATTTTCCAAAAGATAGTCGCGTATGGGAAGAGAAGCCCGTCTATTATAGTGTAATATACGAAATAAAGTGTAAATTACAATACATGACCTTTTGTGAATTTTCCTGTCAACAAAGAAACCTTTATAACCCAAGAAAATAGTTCATTTCTGCAATAAAAAATGTATACAAAGAGTATTTGTGTTTGTACATATGTATATTAAAACAAATGCATGCTAAAGGAAATCATTCTATGACGTTGGTAGTTCATGATTATTATTTATTGTATTATATTTCAATAAATACAATTTTTACTTTGGCAATATCATCGGCGTTTAAAAACAAAAAATTGTGTCGCATCAACGTTAGAAATTCAAATGAATTTATTCGCACTAAAATTATGGCGGCGTATTTTGCTCCGTGTCATAGAATCTCGTATTGTAGATGGGAATATCCTACTTTCTAGTTTCTCTCAGAATGCAAAAGTGAAATGGCATGAATCTTGAAAATATCATTAAAATTACCATTGTCTTTGACGTTACTTGATGAAACTATGCTACCATATAAAACACTCGTATTGAAATACCAATTAAATTAGTCTTTATCTAATTTTAGATAGTACCATTAACTTCATTAGAGTCTACTATCTAACGAAAATATAAACGCAGACTAATGAAGATGATTCTTAAACGAGCATTTAATTTTTAGCGCTCGAAGGACCTGTGTATAATTAATTGCAATTGCAACCGTATTATAAAAAATATATATTAAAACCTATTATTCCGAAAAGTAAATTATATTAATCCATTAGATTTAAAAAGTCATTCATTCAATATTCAATAGTTCCTCAATATTTTAACTGTTGAAAGATTTATAACTCATTTAAAATACAACTGCATGGTCAAGAACAGGCTTAACTTAACAATTAAATGTTTTTAATGAAATATGCAACCATGAATAGAATTAATTCTAATGAAATTGTTACCATTGTATACTTGTGCAATTAGCTGATAATAAATTTACGCGCGAAAAAAAATTCGTGTAGTGGTTTACGGTTAAAATTAAATTCACAAGAAGCGCCACTGCATGAAACGTATAGAATATCGTCGATACACTTCCGGTTTGTTTTTCTGATAAGTGGCTGATGGTCGTCTGACATTTCTCTTTTGACAATTTTAATGCACTATGGTTCACGAAATACGTTATTCAGCCTCATAAATGAAACGGTGATACACGCGTTCATTTCAGCAGGCGGTGAATCGATAGAAACGGTTTTCCAATCCGGCAAATTTTGCACAGGAAAGGTGAGACCGGTGAAATATATCGTTATCAGGCGTGCCACCGGTTCGAGTTAGAATCGTCCATTAACATTGCCACTTTTTAGGACACGCAGTAGCATTCGGCAAAATGATCAAAACAGGAGAAGATAACCTAAGGCATCTTCACTGTAATCAAACAGTGTAAGTACTTAATAAAGCTTCAATTTTAATTGACCTCCTATTTCCATAGATAATCCTTTGTATGTTTATGCATTCTTTTTTATTTTAGTATCGCTGTTTCAGAATTTTCTTTCATCTGTCTACCAAGCAATATATTCTTATAAAAAGTACATGTACCAACTTTGTATCACCTTGCTTATATTTTACAAGTGTCATTCATGAATTTCTTTATTTAATCCTTTCTGAACGGATTCTTGATATCTATATTTTTTTAAGATTTTATGTATCTTCAGAGAATTCAATGGACAAGAAGACCAACATTCAGTGGAACTATATAGCGATGATGTTACTATTATCCCCTCACCCGGAGGTCATAATCACGGTAGTTCAAAGGTGAAGTTAAGGAATATTGTTGACTATTCGTGGGATGTTAGCCTTTATCCAAATCAGTTATTGGCTGTTCATATGTATGGGAAATATTTAGCTTATGGAATTATAGGTAATGTATATTTAAATGAAAATTTCAGATATTTCCCTATTTTTAAGAATTAACTTATTGAAATTGTTTAGTTGGGAATACCGGAGGAGGTAGGGTGAGAGTTATGTACAAAGACTTGGAACAGAGAGCATTATTAAGGGGAATGCGTGCTCCTATACAAGACCTGGCTTTTGCACATGTTTCCAATGCTATTTTAGCATGCGTTGACTACTTAGGAAATCTTTTTATACATAGTATCGAATCAACACCAAACGAATTATTATGTACTTTATTATTACAAGTGGATGCAAATTCTAGTGCTTATCATCGTGTGATATGGTGTCCTTATATCCCAGAAGATGTACCATCTGAAGGAGACGAAGTGTCAAAATTCTTAGTTTTAACTCGTGATTCTAGAGCAGAGTTGTGGTCAGTTAATACTGTTACATCAAGATTCAAATCAATAGAGGTGAATGTGTACCTTACTTACAGATTATAAAATCCATACAAAGTGAACAAAGTATGCAACTGTTTGACTGAATGATAGGCAACTGATCCAGCTGCGAAGGAAAACGGAGGCATGTTTGAAATTGATGAACATTCCGATAGAATCATTGAAGCAGCTTTGAGTCCTGATGGTACAGCTTTAGCTACAGCTAGCGCAGATGGAGAAGTAAAATTCTTCCAAGTTTACTCGCATGAAAACCCTCATCTTAATCCATCTCAACCGCGTTGTTTACATCATTGGAGCCCACACAATGGACGACCTATCTCATGTTTATTCTTCCTAGATGACCATAAAACATACCATCCCGAGTAAGTAACTCAAAAGCATATTGCGTTGATATTGTTGCTGCAAACAAAATAAAAATTGTTTGATTTGCAGTGTACAGTTTTGGAGGTTCGCTATAACCGGATGTGACAATAATACAGAATTAAAAGTTTGGTCTTGTGAATTATGGGCTTGTTTACAAACTATTACATTTGCTCCAACACCTTCCACTGGCAAATTACCTGTTTTAAAAGCAGCCTTAGATCCCAGTGCTGGATACCTTCTATTATCAGATATATTCAATAAAGTTCTATATATATTAAGTCTGACAAAAGACAGTGGAAAAGCAATTGCATCTGTTAGTACAGTATCAGAATTACTTCTACCATATCCAATACTGAGCTTTGGGATTGTTGATGCTGGTATACGCAAAATACGTCCTACTTGCGAATCATTAGAAGACTTACGGCCTTGCGAAGAAGAAGAAGAACAACTTGTTATTCAAATGTATCTAGTCCAACCGAAATCGTTGCAAGAATGTCAGATTGCCTTCAAACCTGCCTCACAAGTGAGTAGCAAGCGTCTCATGGATAGGCTCACTCATGATTCACTTGACTACTCCGAAGAGTTGCCCGAAATGGAAACTGCCAATCATAATGGAATCGCGGGAGAGAGTTGTGAAGAAGATCGTTCGTTATCTGCTACAATTGAGGCAGCGACAAATCATAATGCTGGGTTAAATCTAATGACACCCGATGCATTTAGTTCGCCAGCTAAAAAGGAGAACAGCGAACTGGATTCGCAACCTGGTAGCCCAGAATTGAGTAAAGTTCTGTCTGCTAGTCCTTCCTTGGCACAAGCTGTACAAGCTTTAAATGCAACAGAGCCTCCATTGGCTACTAGTGAATTAGAAGAACAAACCCCAGCTAGCAGCGGTAGTAGTCCATCTAGAGAAGTGAGAGATATTTTGTCTCTCACAAAACTAGATGAAGAACCAGAGGTTGAGAACAAACCTGAAGTCACCAACACAACTGATGGAGATTGGCCTAATATCCCTATGGTTTTATTAAAAGATGTGAGCAGACATGCGATGCAAGAAGCTGAAAACTACTCAGCAGAAGAAGAGCAAAAGATAAAATTGAAAGAAGATTCAAAATCTGCAACGCTTAATACTGAAGATGTTAACAGTGCATGGCAAACGGCGAACGAATTGAATACGCGTGAAATAATAGATAAATTAGAAACCGTTTTAGAACTGATCCACGATCACCGACGAGAATTGAGAGAGTTACGTGTAGAGAGTGCGAGATTGAGACAAGAAACACCTATTTCGACGCGAGTTGAAGCTGCTCTAGCTAGAGCCACCCAACAACAAAATGCTTTAGAACAAACATTGTACAGTCAAATGGCATTTGAAACGACGGTAAAAGATAAAATAGATACGACACTGCCACGCGTTATCAAAGAAGCAGTGGAACCTTTAAAGCATCAGCTTAGATTAGATACTGCACAAATGGATGAACTTTTAAAAGAAAATTTAACAGAATTAATCAATAGCGCTCATGTGAAAGACACGCTTGCAATTGCAGCAGCAAATGCAGCGAAACCGGCGTTAGATGCTGCATTTAAGGAAGCTTTCACAAATATTCTCCTACCTGGTATGGAGAAAGCTTGTCAAACAATGTTTAAGCAAGTACAAGATGCCTTTGTCAGGGGTACACGAGAATGTAAGAAATCATTTACATACAGTACATAAAGTATCGCAACATATTCAGTTTCACTTCCTGGGATAAAATATAAATATCAAAAATATGTCTTTACAGACCTTCAGAAGGTGGAAGCAATTGCAGATAAGCAATATCAACAACGAAATGAACAACAAAGTAAAGCATTGTCTGGACTGGTCCGTGAAGAATTACAAACTGAATTAAGTAGAGGTTTATCTTCTCTTCAAGAAGGAACGCTGCGTACTATTCGTGAATCTATTAGAGATAATTTAAATCATCAGCTAAATGAAATCACAAATGCACGGTAATTATATGTAACTAAAGTTTAAGTTTCTTTTTTCTTTAGAAATGACTAATTAATTAATGTAATATATATATATATAGTTCGAGAGCAACCACTCCTGCTATACCAGTATCTGCAGTTGCCGACGCTCAATCACGGGTAATGACTCTCCTTCTACGGGGACAGTTAAATGCTGCTTTTCAACAAGCTTTAAGCGCAAGTGACTTGGGTTTGGTAGTACTAGTTTGTGAAAAAACAGAGCCTGCCAGAGTATTTTCTTGTTCAGTGGGACCAGATCAAGGCCCTAGATGCATTTTACAGCAACCTGTAATACTTTCACTTGTGCAACAATTATCTGCAGACTTAGGACATCGTACAGAGCTCAAGCATAGGTAAAATTTTCTTTCAGAAATACATTGAATTGTATGTTTTGAATTTTTCTAAATAATAATTCTTCAATAGGTGGTTGGAAGAAGCAATATTAAACTTGGATCCTAATGATCCAGTCACACGAGAACATATGGGTACGGTATTAATGAACTTACAAAGTCAATTGTCTGCATTCATTGCAGCTAATCCTAATCACAATTCTACTCGACGTATGAAAATGCTCGCTATGGCTGCACGTGCACTTTTGAACCAACATCCTTAATGTCACATACGTTTGAAATAGAACGTGTTCTTTATCGAATATAGATGAAACAACTGTGTGATATTCTCTGTATTTAAGAATAACATTTTTATCATTAACATTAAAGTAAGGAGCAACTTCCTTAACGTCTTCAGGATCAAGCAACTCTCTTTATCCATCCAGTTAGGTCTTCCCCTAGCCTCATTTCGCAGTTTTTGGTTTTTAATATATTTCCTATTATTATTTTTAGTATTAAAGATGTATTACACTAATAATACAATTTGATGGTAGAAAGATGAGGAATATTGGCCTTAACAGCGCTACAAAAGTTGCTTCTTACTTTAGCACATCTTTTATATTCGTAAGTAAACTCATCTTGTACTAGTAATAATATATCACAATACCATTCTGATTACTTTAATTTTATAAATTGAAGAAAGACGATTGTATTATGAATAAAAATGAAATTTATTTACATAAATTCCGATATTTGCTTCGTGTAAATTGTTATCAGTTTCCAACAATTTATATTTTTGCTGTCTATTTATTTTTAATTTCACGAACTAATATTTCTTTAACATGTGATGCTAACTTAATCTTCTTTCTTTTCCTAACTCTTCCGGATTTTGTTCCTGTTGTATTATTTGAGATTCCTGTCTGTGGTTTTTTCTTTTTTTTTAAACAACTAAGTGGATTAGGGCCACCTTTCTTCCTTTTTTTTCTCAGCTTGTGTTCTGTTTTATCTTCTAAACCTGCTACTTTTTTCAATGTTTTAATATTTTCCTTTTCCCAAGTACTCATGCCTAATCTTTCACGAATATTCTGAGCATGTTCACGACTTGCTTGTGAAGGGGCTTCCAAAGTTGGAGCTTTACCATGTAAGTACAATATGGGCACACATGGAATTTTCCTTAAAATATCTTGAAGTTCTCTGTCTTGTGTAGCTACAATATATCTGAAGAAAAAGTAAAACTCATATTACAAATATAAATATGGCACATAATAAAAGTACATAAAGGAACTACATATAATACCTAGATATGTTACTTTCTCCAACCATTGATCGTAAACATTCTGTACCAGTTATTGAATGTTTTTCATGACCACATTTATGTACAGGATATTGTTTAACTATTTGCATAGCACCAGTGACTGCTTTAGAAAATGAACCTAGCTTTTCAGTTTCCAAAATGATACATGGTGTTGTTAATAATTTAATTTCCGCTTGAAAATATTTTGATAATTGATCATGTATGTTGAATTTATTCTTTAAAATAAGTAAATAGATATTAAACATTTAAATAATCAATCAATTAGCTAAACAATTTTGTATGTTTTGAATAAAGTGTATACGAACAAACCTCTAACGCAGCAAACGCAAATGTACCATCGATAAGAATTTGAAACGGTGGTCTAAATTTGAAATTGTTAATAAAAAATCCCAAATTCTTTCTTGCTTTCTTCTGACGAGCTGTCTTCATTTTTTATTGCTTCGTAGTAAAATAGATTTCGAGACTAAAAAGACAAGGCGCATAGGCGATAAAAACGTTGGAATGTATACAAACGTAAAGCCTAGTATATTTTGTTAAAATATTATGATTGCTTTATAAACTGAAGTATTAGTTTAATATATATATATATAAACATAGAAGATAGAGTAATTTTATATTGAAATATTTTCTAAATAAATTATTTTATTTTTGAAAATAGAAGTATAGTTTTCCAACCATATAGTATTTTCTTCCTAATACTCGCAGCGAATAAACACTATGTAATTATGCAAACCTATAAGACATCTCATAAATAAAAATATTCCAATAATTATTATTAGAATTTAAATTTTCGTTAAAATTATTATTTTATGTACTTAAATATATATACATATATTTGATGTAGTCTAAAATAATTTATATAGCATAACCTACCAGAAAGAAAACAGTAGATGAAAAAAGCGCTTCGTGGTTGCAATAAACAGTTTGCCGTATTACGCTCTTAAACTGTAATCAGTGTATATTGTGATAATACTGTTACTGAAATAAAACTTTTGTTGTTTTTGTCACTTATAAAATAACATCATCAAAATGTAAGCATTTAAATAACATTTTCTATCGTCTTAATCTATTTGCGTATTTAATCAGAGAAATATAACCTTAAATGTTGATGTGGGTTTTTATTTTTTCACATAAATTTTATTTATAGATTGCAAATGATTTTTATTAAAATCATATCATATAAAATATTTTTTGTTATAGTATTTTTATAATTGTTCACTTTTTTTCATAGGTCTTCATTAACCAAACCAAAATCTGAGATGACTCCTGAAGAGCTAGCAAAACGAGAAGAAGAAGAATTTAATACCGGCCCGCTTTCAGTTTTAACACAATCTGTGAAAAATAATACTCAAGTTTTAATCAATTGTAGAAATAACAAAAAATTACTGGGACGGGTGAAAGCATTCGATAGGCATTGTAATATGGTATTAGAAAATGTAAAAGAAATGTGGACTGAACTTCCACGTACAGGGAAAGGGAAAAAAAAGGTAAAGCAATAAAAATTAAAAAATATTTTAATACATTTTATGCATATCTATAATCAAACTTAATACTTTCTTTTTTTGTAGGCAAAACCAGTAAACAAAGACAGATTTATCTCTAAAATGTTTTTAAGAGGAGATTCTGTTATTTTAGTTCTACGAAATCCATTAGCAACAGCATCAGGAAAGTAATTTTCTACTAAATATTTTTTTTTCAAATTTATAAAGATTATACACTGGAAATAAACTTTTATCATATAAGCTAAAAATGTGTATATTTTATTTGTTTGTTAACAATTATATAACTTGACAAAATACTTATTTTTTTCATTCAAAGTGTTGAAGTAAGAAAGTATATTAAGCAAGACATGATATTTATTTATATTCAATTATACATAAAGTTATTAATCTTTCTCAGCAATTGCTGTAAGATGTTTATCAATTTCTTGTTCCGTTAAAGTTCTGAAAGAATAAAACATTACAATCATATAATATTCATATGTAAAGCACAATTAATAGTATGTAATGCAATTACCGAAACTTGGGATTGTCCTTTGATACCACACCAATTTCTATCTCTGTTGGTTTAAAATCAACAGATAAGACTGTAGATAAACATGTAATAGCTAATTGAATTGTTTCATTATGATCATAATTTTGCTTTTTCTTCAATTTTTTCTCAAGATAAGAATTAGCCTCAGTCTGTTTAGCACCAACAGATATGGCTCTGTAGCCACAGAAATATCCAGCAGGGTCTGCTTTGTAAACGCAAGGACCTTTTTCTTTATCATATGAAATAAGCATCATACAGCATCCAAGAGGTCGCATTTCTGCATTTTGAGTGTATACTTGACTGATGTCAGCAATACGACGACACAGTGCATCTACAGGAATTTCATAGTCGTACTTGTATTTAAAATGGGCTGCTTCGTATCTAGCTCGTTGTACTTGAGATTTGCTATCAGCTAAAATATAAAATATATCACTATTAATAGAAACAGAATACAGATACTAACATCAGAATGATTAATTTTAGTAACAATCTATTTTCTAATAGCAAACATTTTCTTTCTACAAATGAAATACTTTTTCACTATGTTAAAATTACATTTCTACTAAAAGAATTTTCAATAACTTTAGGTAATTCCATGATTTACAGATTTTATGTTAATAATTTTACTCACCTATCATGCCAGTCATAAGGCATCCAATGTGTTCAGTAAGTTGGAAAATATGAGTTACACTGGATGCATCAAGCAGCTTGTCCTATAAACAAGTATATTTGAAATTGTTTATTTACTACAGTTGTACGAATTCTTAAGTTTAGTTCTGAGATATTATTAAATAATAGATTAGACAAATAATGTAAGGAGATGCAAACGAGAGCAAGAGGAGCAATAATAAATTAGTGAAGGTTATCTTACAGGCACTTTCTTCTGAGTTGCAAAAACGGCAGTGTCGACTCCTTTAACGGCGACAGACGTTAAACCACCTTGATTTATTGCTTTAAATGCATATTCTGTAAAATATTTGTAAATTGTTTGTCAGCAAGTTCAAAATTGCAGATCACGCTATGACATGACTCCCGGTACGAAAATCTATATATGACTTACTAAATAATATAAATAACAGAGCTATAATATCAAAAGCCAGTTATTTAGCTATATAAAATGTTTTAATGGATCTTACCCACTTGATAAAGTCGTCCTTCTGGCGAAAAGATCGTAATATGCCTATCAAAACCAGCACTACTACCTCGCGCCATGTTCACAAATACTAAATCTTAATGGTTGCGTTTTAAAGTTGGTAGGTAACGCAAAACGTCAAATCATGTAGCAGCTACATTAAGCTAGTTTACATTTGCAATAAAATACATGAGTGATGAAAACTCAGAATTGAGAATTAAAACAATTAAAATAATTAAAATAATCCGTCTTTTTTGACTATGAATATTCTCAAATGTTAAGCATGAATTGGAAAATTATTTTAATAGTTGGTGTATGAGATGAATAAATTTTACTTCTATTTTTCATTTCACTGGATATTGTATAGGTATTGACTCCATAAAACATATTGATTTATTCAGGTGTTTTTTCAAATAGATAAATTAGACAAATTATTTCAAATAGAACACTTCGTTCTGGAATTATTTACCGATTTTCTTATAGATTGTCTCAATGAATATTAACAATATACATTTGAATCATATTCTTCGCAACTTTTATACTTCAAATTTTCGTTGCAATTTTTGTGCAAAACGTTAAAAAAAAAGAAATTGTAGAGACAAGGTGATGCAACATGTTAAATTATATTTAAAAAACTATACGTATCTTAATACGTACTTTAAAAATAATTTACTGTTGCGTGTTTGTAAATGAAAGTTTTCTAATCAGATTGCAATTCTTATACGATAAATTCAATATATGTATAGTATTAAATGAATAAATAAATAAATATTAAAGTTGAGCTAGTAATATTGATGATGACTTAACTAGCAACTAATCTTTAGTCTCTAACCACTGTGTTCAAGGCGGAAAGTGTGTGATGGCCGTATTTTACATTTGTAGAGAAACACGGCTTTGAGAAAATACAAAAATTACGAAAAGAAGACTTTAATACAAGATGAATTCTTTAATTCGTACAAGAGCAAAAATAATTGGTCATGGTAGAACCATTTGCCGTATGTACAATTAATTTTGTTTGATAATAAATAAGAATTATACCTAACAATTACCAACGTGTTCATTATAGATATTGTACATTATATATTTATGTAACATTTAAATTCACGTATCGAATTATTAGTATTCAAGGCAAATTAATAGAAATTTTTTATCTCGTTTGAACACTTTTTCGTTGTTAAGTTTATTATTTACACGATTATACAAGTAGTAGGTTATGTTGTGAAATAAGTTTTAATAATAGCGGTTTCGTGTATTCGCAATATAATACTATTTTCGAACTGAACGCTAATTTCAATGTTAATATGACATTGTCAACAAAAGATTTAATTAAAAATGAAAATATTTTGTTGTGAACATTGTTAGAATATGCATTGCGCAATAGTGACATAATAATATATGAGACAAAATAATAAATATGTGTAATTGTATTTGACATGTATATATGTATATATATATAGAATATAATTGTTTTAAATTAGGATATAATACGAATCAAATATATGGAAACTTGGCACTTATTTACTCTGATGAAAGGAGTCTAAAACACAATAGAATATTAATACATTCAAAGACAACAGGAAACTGTAATAATATTAGTGAACCATATTTACAATTCCGTACATTTTATACATCGCCAACATGGAATGGTCAAGAATCATCTTCCAAAGTAGAAGACACAGTGAAAAATATCAAGGAGCAGAAAGATCTCAAAGAGAAAGTAGAAGGAACTGTTGTGCAGGCTACTCCAAAAGCAGTAGTAGAAAAACCTCCATTATGGCAAAGGGTTAAGGCAGAAATACTTCATTATTATCACGGATTTAGATTATTGGGTTTAGATATAAAAATTTCAGCAAAACTAGTTTGGAGAATTTTGCAGGGTAAAGAACTGAGTAGAAGAGAACATAGATTGGTAAATTAAAAAGAGATATTACATACTTTTAAATGGATACTAAATTTTCTGTTATTTTAATCGTTAACTATTTTCAGCTTGTAAAAACAACTGGCGACTTATTTAGGCTCATTCCTTTCTCTGTTTTCATTATTGTTCCTTTTATGGAATTTTTGTTACCAGTTGCTATTAAGCTTTTCCCTGGTTTACTACCATCTACTTTTCAAACAGCGATGGAAAAGGAAGATAAATTGAAGCAAGCGCTAAAGGTATGAATCCATATTTTATTTTTAGTGATAATATTATTAAAACTTATTAAAACTTTATCATTAAATTTTTTGTTGTAGATTAAAATCGAGATGGCTAAATTTTTACAAAAAACTTTGGATGACATGGCAGTACAGTCAACAGATTATAGGTCACAGAGGGCTAAGGAATTTGCAGAATTTTTCTATAAAGTTCGAAGTTCTGGTGCTACTGCTTCAAACGAAGAGATCATGCAGTTTAGCAAACTTTTTGAAGATGAAATTACATTAGACTCTCTTTCTCGACCACAATTAGTGGCACTGTGTAGAGTATTAGATGTGCAAACTCTAGGAACAACAAATTTCTTACGATTTTTACTCCGAATGAGGCTCAGGAGTCTTTCTGCAGATGATAAGGTATTTGATCTTATATTATGTACTTCACATAGATTGTAACATTAGGTACTATTTGTTATTGCTAACAAATTATATATACGTTTTTCTCAGCTGATAGAAAAGGAAGGTATAGATTCTCTTACTAGGAGTGAGTTACAGCAAGCCTGTAGGGCACGTGGAATGAGAGCATATGGTTTACCAGAAAGCAAACTGAAAGAGCAAATGTCTCAATGGTTGGATTTGAGTTTGAATAAAAAAGTACCGCCATCGTTATTACTTCTCTCGCGAGCATTAATGGTTCCAGAATCGATACCTATGTCGGACAAATTAAAGGCTACCATTTCAGCTCTTCCCGATACAGTTGTTGCTCGTACTCAGGGAGCTATAGGGGAAAAAGAAGGTAAAATGGACCATAAGACAAATATTGAAATAATTAAAATGGAGGAGCGTAAGATTGAGGAGGAGCGGCAAGAAAAGAAAGAGACTGAGCCAGAGCCAATAGTTGCTATGCAAAAATCTGACGAAATTACGAACAAAGACGTGAAAGTATTAGAGCAAGCTTTAGATTCTATTGGAAAGGTATAAATTAAATTTTATAAAATTAGTTTAGTTTATATACATATATATATGTATGTGTCATTTATAAAGTTATATTTTTATAAAGGATAAACAAAACATGTCGATCGAAAAGGAGGAATTAAAAGAGTTGAAGGAAGAAATGGCTGATTATCAAGAAGATATAAAAGAACTTCATGAAATCAAAGCGGCCGCTAGGGGTCAGGAAGGTGTAGATAACATTAAAGAATCTAAGGGCGCTAAACGACTATTCAATAAAGTAAATAAGATGATCGAGAAAATGGATGCAGTTTTAAATCAGCTTGAATCTGAAAAAAAACTGAAACAGAAGGCTGAGACTGTTAATGTAGATGAATCTTCCTCTATCAAAAATGCTGAAGAATTAATTAAAATAGAGGAACTAATTACAGCTATTAAGAAAATTCAAAATGTACCTGATCAACATCGGTTACAACGCATAGTAGAAATTTTATCGAAAATGGATGACGACAGGGATGGTGCAATAAAGATTGAAGATGTCCTGAAGGTAGAGTGCCCGATTATTTTACGCTATCAGAGTAATGAACATATCCAATAAGTTTAGTATAAAATTATATTATTTTTTTATAGGTAGTGGAGTTAATCGGAAAGGAAGATATTAAATTAAGCAAGAAACAAGTACATGAACTAATCGAACTAATTGATAAAGAGGAAATATTGGAAATAGAAGAACAAATTCAAAGGTCATTACAGAAGGACCCAGCACCTGAAATAAATGAGATTCCTGGTGAAAAATATGTTTCACCAAAATCTCCAGTTCCTGCTACTCCAGTAACGACTGAAAAAGGTTTTGGTAAAGAGGAATTAGATGAAGATTACGTAGGAAACTCGTCCGAACAGAAAAGAAAAAATGCTGCGATGCTTAAAAGCAAATCTTCTGATTCAGTGAGAAATTCTCCATTAGCACCTGGTGTTCCACCAACGACAAAAAAAGCGGAAGGCTCTAAGCAGCTATGATTACCACATAATGAACTATAAATTAATGTATGTAATTATTAATACAATCTTTTTATCAGATATTAATCGCAGGAGATATTGCGCTGTCATCTCCATAAATATTTTCATGCATACATTTTTTTAGTAAATGAGTTCATACATAGTAAAATTTTTTGGAAAGGCATCAGGGATATAGAAGTCGTTATAAAATAGTTTTGTATGTATTAAAGGGCTTCATAATGAAACGCAACCTATACCTGATCTCGACTTAGAAAAATTTGACTAAAAACGTTGACAGAATTTTGACCGAACTTTTATATTTATTATCACAACAGATTTTGTTTCTTTTTAATTAAGATTACGATGCATTTAGCAGCATCAACGTGTTATAGATTGGAGTACCAATTGCAAGATATCTGTGCTGGTCACAAAAATATTAACTTGCATACAAATTCTTG